CAAGTTATGTATGAGCCGAGAGGGCAAGGTGGGTCAAAAAGGGTCATGATGCGTTCAAAAGCTCCCTTGTCTCCACTCGAGACGAAGTTTGACGCTTTAGCTGATCGACTAGCCGATATTTCCCTTATTATCAAGAAGAATCAGTCGAGGGATGACGCAACAGCATTCCGCCCCGCACACGATCGTACTTGTTCTTATTGCAAAAGACCGGGTCATGGCGCTAATAGATGCGATGCGACTCCGCATAAAGACACGAAATGCCCTCGCTACGGAAAATGTGGTCATTCAGAGACAAGCTGTTGGGCTAGAATTGGTCCACAGAGGGGAGGTAGCAATGCCTACCCTCCTAAGAAGACCCAGACGGATATTTCCGTGTCAGGTACACGGACGGGCTCCGCAGGAAACCAGGTGAGTGTTGTGACGCACGACGACCTTCCTGCTGCTGATGAGAAGTTAGTGGCATCAGTCAAGAGAAACGCCGATGGAGAGCCGGTGGCCAAGACGCGAAAGGATGGTGGCGGCGAGCCAATCCCGTCCCTTCTCAACCCGCGTAAGTACTGGACTCCGAACCACATGAGGAAACCTCCTAAGACCGGCCGTCGAACAAGAAAGAAGAGGACAAGTAAGAAGAACGCCGTCAAAGAGCACTCGGGGAAATACGATGTGGTTTCTTCCCTCGCGAACGCCCCCTCTGGTTTGACATTCGGTCAACTGATTCGAGGAGATGGCGACGAGGCCAAGAAAGAGATCCGTCGTTTGTTCAACAGTCGTCCTAGACGTCCCGTAGCTGCTTCGATCGGTACTTTGCCGAAATGTCTGAAAGTAGTTTCGGTACAAGTCTACGGGACACAAATGAGAGCGTTGTTAGACTCAGGAGCTATCCCTAATGTTATGAATGCGTCTATGACATCGAAGCTCTCTCTGTCTCCAAAGCCGACCTCGAGGAATATTACGGTCGCCAATGGACAAAAGACAACCTGCTTAGGTTCCATCGAGGAAGTTCCTGTCACGTTCAATGGCGCTGTTACTTCACTCAACTTCTTGGTTGTTGAAGGATCCCCAGTTGATATCTTAATCGAGTATCTAACTCTCGAAGAACTTCAAGCCTGCATCGATCTAGGTCACCAGTCCGTTAGAATGTTGATCGGAAACAAAACCGTGAAAATGAGTCTGGAGTTTGATCAAGTAAGTCCTATCCGCGCGGATTTGGAGACTGATAGTGAGGACTTCACTTCTGATGTCGAGTCGTTCGCCTCAGAAAACTCGTCGGAAGAAGAGACTTATGTTGTCGCCATCCTCGGCGATAAACCTTTCGAACTAGACTTAACTCTGGACGGAGCGATCGGAGAAAATGAGGAAGTAGAATCACCTGATTCGAATGTCATCAACAGGGCCGTGAAAATGCCTCGGGAAAAACTTGTGCATCTTGACAATGAAGCTCAAGCAGCCATCGAGACCGCCCAGATGGGTAAGAGTATCGTGGCTACATCCCTTGACGACCTTTGGCCTGCTGAAGTCCCAATCAAGCACCATTTCGAGTTAGATGATACTAATCCGATCTATCACTCGGCGAGGAGAATGGCTCCCTTGCATAACGAAATCGTTCGGAAAGAGCTAGACAAAATGCTGGAAGCAGGAATCATCACGCCTTCCAGCGCCGCATGGTCCTTTCCAGTCGTCATCGTATCCAAAAAAGATGGGAATCCACGCTTCTGTGTTGATTACTGTTCTCTGAACCAGAAGATGAAAGCAAACAGATGGCCTTTGCCGAAAATAGAAGAGATATTTGATGACTTGGAAGGAAGTGCGTACTTCACTTCTCTGGATTTGTTCAGTGGTTACTGGCAAATTCGGATGGCACAACAATGCAAAGAAATGACTACTTTCGTCTGTCGCTACGGGACGTATAAGTTCGAAGTCATGCCCTTTGGATTGATGAATGCGCCTTCGACATTTCAGAGAATGATGGATACAATCTTTCGCGGAGTGCGGTTTGTGCGTGTGTACCTCGATGACGTTGTGGTGTTCTCTAAGACTATAGAAGAACATCTTCGTCACCTGCAGCATGTATTTGATGTGCCTGACGAGGCTGGTCCTAAGCTCAAGCTGACAAAGTGTAGCTTCGCCCAGGCGAAGATCAAGTTGCTCGGTCATGTTGTCGACAAAGGCGGGATTGCCGTTGACCCGAGCAAGGTCGAAGTAATTCGGAATGCACCGATCCCGACCACTACGACTGAACTTAGGAGCTTTCTCGGGCTAGCAAGCTACTACCGTCGTTTCATCTGCAAGTTTGGGGACATTGCTGCGGTACTCTATGCGGCTACATCCGGAAACGGCAGATTGAAATGGACCGGAGAAATGCAAGAAGCCTTTGATGAACTACGCATAAAGTTAACTTCTCCGCCAGTCTTGGCTTACCCAGACTTCGAGAAGCCCTTCGTCGTTGAGAAGGATGCGTCGTCGGTCTCCGTCGGGGCTGTGTTGGCTCAAAAGAAGGAAGATGGGAAAATACACCCCATCCAGTACGCAAGCCGTACTATGAATACATCTGAGCGCAAGTACTCCGCTTGTGAGCGTGAGGCGCTTGCAGTCATCTTTGCTTTGAAGAAATTTCGTGTTTACGTGTTTTCGTCTACACCTTTCAAGTTGATTACTGATCACCAGGCTCTTAGTTACGCTTTTCGCAAGAAAGACATCCACAGTCGTTTGGCTCGTTGGCTAGACTTCTTAGCCGAGTATGACTTCACCGTGGAATATCGTCGTGGATCCGCAAATAGTGCAGCTGACTACCTTTCCCGCATTCAGCCCAAGAACGGCGACAACCCAACTTGCCAGGAAGAGGGAGACCTTGCCCTCGCTATTACGACCCCGATCTACTCTCCAGAAGATCTAGAAGAGTCTTGCCAAGATATCATGTTCTATCTGCAAGGCGAAACACCGGTTGGGTTGGATGATTACAGGAAGTCTCGCATGAAGAATAATGCGAAGAACTTTCTAATGTGGGAGTCGAAGTTGTTCCGCCGCACCATTCATGGTCTTCGTGTTGTTGCCCCAATTTCCGATCGCGAAAAGGCACTGAAGGGTTTCCATGACGTCATTGGTCATTGGGACTTGAAGACCACTCGTCAATTTGTCACGGAAAGGTACTGGTGGCCGACCGGTTGTATGGACGTGGGAGACTACGTGAAGAGTTTTGACGGGTGTCAGAAGGCGCGTCCGATTCCCAAATACAAGACCACTTTGCGCCTTCCCATCACAAGCTTGTTTGATGTTTTCTCTATTGACTTTGCTGGCCCCTTCCCTGCCACCTCGTCCGGAAATCGCTTCGTGTTGGTTGCGGTCGAACACCTCACAGGATGGCTAATTGCCCTATCCACTGCTGATAGTACTGCTCAAGTGGTTCTTGACTTCGTCAAGAGAGAAATCATGTACTCATTCGGCCCTCCGCAAGCCGTTGTCTCTGACAATGCTACCAGCTTCACAGCCTCGGCCGTTTCTAGCTTCATGGCTCGGCACGGTATCACTTGGAGCACCGTCCTCGCCTACGCTCCCATGTCTAACGGTAGAGCAGAGAGAATGGTTGGAACTTTGAAGGCTTTGGTCCTGGGGACACTTCTGGGTACGGCATCTTGTACAGTACCCCAAATCTCCCCCACAAGACCCCCCTCCCTACCCCCACACCCGAGCAGGGGC